GGGGAGCGCATCCCTGCCGGCTCCCGCTCCCTCCTCACACAAAAGGCAAGAGAGCACCGGCTGAGACAAGGGAGCCGCCGGTTTGGTTTCCGAAAGAGGAGCTTGGGGAAGGCAAGAGGAGAACCCCGGGCGGGGTGACTACAACAAGCGGGACAGCATCCCTGAGCGTCCACTTCCCCGTGAGAACTTTATCTTTTTGTGATGCAGAGACCGGGGAAAAGCAGGCTGGGAGTTTCTATGCAAGGTACCGGCCAGACTTGAGTGGTGTCCTGCCGGCCCGGCTAACCCTTTGCGGTGTCTCCGGGCCCATCACTGCCGGCGCGGGGGAGGGAGCGCAGCCCAGCCGCCTCCCCCGGACCCTCTGGGCGCTGCCAGCCGGGCTCCGCGGCAGCGCGGGGGATGCGCGGCCGCGCCGGCCCCTGCCCACGGAAGCCGCTCCCCGGCGACTCTTTCTCCCTCTCCTTGTCTTTCTTTTGCCTGACCCGCGCCCCTCGCCTTTGAAGCCCCGCCAGCTCCCGGGGTGTTAAGTGCCTGTCAGCTCATCCCTTTCTCTCCCGAGGTTTTCTTCCCTCACGAGCTCCTGCGAAGCGGTTTCCCGCTCGGCGCGGAGCGCCCTAGGGCTCCTTTCTGCACCCCCACCCCCCCTCCCCCGAGCCGCTGGTTACCTAGAGACACTCGCTGCGCTTTTAACCACGCAGCACCCCTCCGGGCTGCCGCCGCCCGAGCCAGGAGCGCAGGGCCGTAAGGGCTGTAAATTAGGAGGAAATAACTACCCTTGTCAAAGCTCTTTTCTTCCTCCGTGCACTTTACATTCAGCCCCGAGTGACACCCCTCCCCACCCTGTAATACGAGGAGGAAACCGTGAAATACTCCATTGTGATTGTGACTTCTTCAGGCGAGTTTCGAAACCTTCATTTACCCGGGAGGGACTGCGGAGGGGGAAGCTCCATTCAACTAAAAAGTTTCGTGCTGGATTTCCACCGCCGGTTAGCTGGCGATTTTTTTTGGGGGGGAGGGTGTGGGACGGATCGCCCCGAGCCGCACGGTCACTCCAGCAAATATCCACGAGATCGCGTGAGATTCACCTCCGAAGAAACCGTCTGGTCTGGTTTAGTCCATTGTTTTTAACCGGGGCTTGACTCCAGCATACAACGGTCTCCACGGAGGAGAGAAAAATAGGGCGAAGAATGTAATCGAGTGAAGCGGCTTGGATAAAAGTTAGCGATTCATTCCCAAACTTTTTTTTTTTCCTGGAGAAAAAAAAATCCTATCCCAGCACACCAATCCCCCTACATAAAACAGTGTCTTACGCCCTTTCCCTGAGAAATATCCTCGCATGGATTCCATCGTATCCAAAAATTGCAAGTTAAGTAACAGCGTTCTCAACTAGCCGCGCTAAGGTGAGCGGCATCTCCGCTCGGGACAGGCTATCGCGACAGTGCTGCCCCGATAACTGTCCGTCTACATAATATCACAACCCAACGCCCGCGCTTTCTCGCCTCTTTCCAAGACTGAAACTTCTTTCGCAGCTATTAAAGCGAGAAGGCAAAGGAGAGAGGCGCCGCGGGGGCAGGGAGCGGGGCAGCGGCGGCGCAGCCCAGCCTCCCCGCACGGTGCCGCCCGTGCCGGAGCACCGCGGCCCCTCGTTACCACTTCTGACCTCCGAAGGGAAAAGTGCACATTTCCGAGGAGCAGATGCCGGGCAGACGTGCCGTGCAAACATCCCGTCTCATTTCAATACAATATGTCACATTCCAGCAATTACCTCTTGGGCGAGCTCTTTGGGCTGCCGAGTGGGGGCTGCTGTCTCCCAAAGTGAGATGAGCTCAACCTGCCCCGCCGTCCCTATTAGACAGCTGAACTTGTGCAAACAGAACCACCTATTTCCCAAGCGCGGCTAAAGGAAGGAGACAAATTGCTGCCATTCATCACCGGCGCTGTAAACTCCCCGCCGCCGCCGGCAGCATCATTTCCATGACAACAACTAGCAGAAATACCTTAGTACCACCGGCTTCGGCTCCCGCTCCTCTCAACCACAGCCCTCCCGTTTGCGAGGGGCAGCAGTGCCCCGCGTACGGCAGGAGTTGCCGAGACGGCAGGCTGGGAGGCTCGGAAGACGAGCGGCAATTGAGCATCCATGGGGAGGATGGGGGAGGAGGGGGGGAAGGTGAGGGAAAAGTTTCAGCGAGAGCCCGGCACGGCAGCGCATCGGCTGAGCCGCATCGCTCGCCGCCGGCATCTCCCCAGCATCTCTACCCCGGCGGCGTAACTTTCACGGAGTGGGGACATGCCGCGCCGTCCCTCTCCCTCAGCCGCTCCCGTTCACTCGCATACGTACTCGGTTGCTGTGGAGGTTCCGTCTTTACATCTAGTTTGTAGGTGCCCGCTTCCTTAAAGGCGTGTGTAGGCGCTGTCCAGCGGCAGGACCCGAGACACAAAATCCCTCAGACTCCGGGTAGCTGCAGGTCCAGAGGGTGCGTTATCCCGAGGCATGGAAAAGGATTGAAAAAGCCTGAGGAGCCAGGAGCCCGTCCCCGGGCGAAGGGAGGGAGTGAGCTGGCGGGCGGGCGAGGGATGCCGAGCGGCCGCCGCCGCCGCCGCGATGTGTCTTTGTGCGTGTGCGGCGGGAGCCGGGCCGGGACCTGTGCCCACGTCCCGGTGCGAGTGCCCCGGGGTGCGCGTGTGCCTGCGCCGGAGAGAGGGGACGGAGGCGCCTCTCTGCGCTGCTCTCCCGCTCCCTCTCTCTGAACGTCATTTATGTGAGAGGAGCCCTAGCGGCCTCTCCATAGAGCGGCTGGAATGCGAAACGTCAATAGTGACGCCATGGGAGCCTGACGCTACTGACCCCCCCCCCCCCCCCCCGGGGCCGCGCG